CACATCCCAGGTGCACTAAGAACTGGATCAGAAACCATGAGGATCATTTCTACTTTTATGTACTATCATTTTATTTTTTTAATATTTTGTTTTTAATTTTTATTTTATGTGTCTAAGTATATTGCCTGCATTCATGTAAGTGATCCTGTGCCTTGTAGTGGCCATGGGAGGTCAGATCCCCTGGAACTGGAGTCATCCTGAGTTACAGAGAGTTGTTAGCCTACATGTGGGTACTGGGAACTGAACCCAGGCCTCTGTAAGAGCAATCAGTGCTGTTAAACTCTTAGCCATCTCTCCAGACCCCTGTACTATCATTGTAAAAGTCAGAAAATCCCCAGATTGCTTTTGGTGACATGAAATCAATTTTAAGTTTTTGCATACAATTCATCACTGAGTTAGCTGGAGACTGAAATACTTGTATTTATAGATTTGTTGAGTTAATCAAATTTAGAATAGGAAGAATTATGGATAAGCTTAATGGTGAAGTTTCATCATCACATCCACTGTAAGGAACTCAATGATCACATGTTTTATAGTTAACTATGTTCCAGTAGAAACTGACCAACCAGGTGTGCATGCTTTTCTCTTCATCTCCAGCCACAGGAAAGCACAGTGAAGTACTTCTGTTTTATGCCCTTGCACCTGCCACAGGAAGGACATGTCGGCAGACACCCCCTCCCCTCACCTGTGGAGTGAGCATTCTGTTATGGGTGTGCTTACTGTTCTGGCTTAGGCTTCCACCCTCTTTAGTGATGACTTCATAACAGAGTTGCCTGTTATTCATATTTCTCACTGATGAAGACAGCGTTCAAAAGGCACAGCCACTTCAACTTAACCAGGCACATGTTAATTCAAGAGTTGCTCTTGTGAATCATATAAACCAGACTTTCTCAAGTTTAATGTTCCTAAAATGAGTCTTTGCACGGGCCTATCTCTTGCATTACAGCCTGGCAATATCTCAAGAGTGATAGGGAAGAATGCAGTCACAGAGACTCCACAAAGATTTCATTTAAGTTTTAAATTCCTCAATTACATTTATTTACAGTGTGTTTATAATTATTTTCCCTACCAGACATCCATAGCATTTCCCCACACCTATCATGATAATAAAAAATGATTAATATCTGGGAATTTACAAATGATTAGATGTCTGAGAATGTGGGGTAACATTACCTCCCTCTGAAGATCAATGAGTTACAGTTGGGAGGTAGCAGCTTTCCTCGTTGCAACTCCATCTTCGGGTCAGGTATTGATTGCAATGAAACTCTACAACCAGCATCTCAGCACTGTACCCTGTCTCAGATCACAATGAAAATAATGCTCTTTAAATCTAAAATTGACTAATATCATCTCCCTTCTTAAGTACAATACACAAATTCATTTTTACCTTCTAGTGAAACTCTGTAAAGACACAGAAAGATACAGACCTAAAGTAGATATAGACATACTTTATCAAATTATTCTATTGACTGTCAGAATGTATGAAGATATGAACAGAAATGAATTCAGGGGTCCACTAGATCAAATTATCTTTCACAGTATAAGGAAAGAATTTTTAAAAATCATTTTAAGATAACTGCTGATCTTGCCCATGGGAATGGATAAGATTGAGAAAACTTGAGTACAGAAAAGTTAGTCTACAGTAAGAGCTGGGTGGTGGTATAGGGGAAATTAATTAGCATACTGATAATATCAGACTTTCCTTCAACCTTCCATAAAAATCTGCAATACCCACAAGAAGCTTAGAGGCATGGTGTGTATATTTGTTTTTCTGAGTATGGGTATGTGGCTAAAAACTGGCTGTATTTCACTTGATAGGTGGCCTTTTGCAGAGAGTTACCTTATCCAAGAAAGAAATGTCAGTCCCCAAACTGAATATCAATAGTAGACTTAAATTTAATACTTCAGAGGAAAAGTATTTGTTCTCAGCCCTACCTAGGCTCAAGAGTGATTGTTAGGGAAAAGTGCATTTGAAGAGACTCCGTGCACATTTCATTTAAGTTTTAAATTTCTTAATTACATTTATTTATCCACCTTTCTGTATTTGCATATATGTTGTATGTATGCATGTGTGGGGACACACATGACACTGAAGGCATGTAGAAGTCAGAGGAAAACTTAAGGATGTCATTTTCTCCTTGTGGGCCCCAGGGATCAAACTCAGGTCACCATGCTCGGCAGCAAGTGCCTTAACCCACCAAGCCAGCTTCGTCTGTCCATTTTGTAAAAATTTTAAGCCTGAGCACCTCTTTAGAACTTCAAGTTAGCTAGACAATACTTAATATATTGCTTCACATTTCCAAAGATCAGAGGAAAACTTAAGGATGTCATTTTCTCCTTGTGGGCCCCAGGGATCAAACTCAGGTCACCATGCTCGGCAGCAAGTGCCTTAACCCACCAAGCCAGCTTCGTCTGTCCATTTTGTAAAAATTTTAAGCCTGAGCACCTCTTTAGAACTTCAAGTTAGCTAGACAATACTTAATATATTGCTTCACATTTCCAAAGAATTTTTTACAGAAAATTTACCAAGCTGTATATTCCTTACATGGTATTTCACAGATTTTTATTGGCAACATTATTTTTCCAGCTCAACTAAGTGATTTCCTAAGACACTTAAGTCTTTCTGTTGTTGTACATATTTCTGTCAGAGCATTTACGTAATTAAATAATTAATTGCCATAAAAATTTTCTCCTGTACTAAAATGTAAACTGGCAAAAATGGAGGATTAAATATTCCTGGCTTTATTACACTAAATCTACCACAGTGCTTAACAGGTGTAATTTATCATCTATAAACTGAAAAATAAGATGTATAAAGGTGACTACTCATTCCAATTTTAAAATGCAAAATCATATAAAATGTGCTTTATGACATTATTCCATCAAATTACAGGCTATAAAGATTATTATGAAAAATTGGGGAGAAGAGAAGAAAATATGTTTCTCTTTAGTTTATGCTTCCACATAATACACGTGTGCCATGCTTTAAACATCTGTGCTTAACTTGAGATTATTCAAAGAAACACTATCAAAATTATTTACCATGGCAATTTTTAAAGTTAAATAATGAACTTTTTTAGACATAATAACTATAGATGAGAAAAATGTGAATATGCTTGTTCATGTTCACAGTGATATTTGTGCCAAATTGTTAGCACAGGCTTGGAAGAAAATGAATTTCAAAAAATGTGTTTACCTTATTAGTAACACCTCATAAAAAAATTGTTCTATTGCTCAGGCAAAGTGACTTTCAAATATTTGGAGTGCCAGATCATGCCTTTCTTGTAGTTACGAGTTGTTGGCTCTGAGGTACATTTTCATGTAGTGAGTTGCATGCTTTATCTTTTATCTTTCGCCAGAACCTTCCTTCTTTAATCACTGTGGTTTCATGTGTGGGGTAGAGTGTTGCTGTTGCTGCATTTCTGCATTTTTAAAATTTGACTTCTTAATTGGAGGTGGTGTGGGTCAAAGTTGGGATTACTCTCCTCTGAACCTCTTCCAAGCTGTCTGGGTTTAGATGCCTCAAACTTAATTCAGGATCCAGGTGTGAGGTTTCCAGCATTTCAGAGAACATGTCAGTCTGTAATGAGATGAGACATGTCTCCATTTGTCACTTACTAGAAGTTGTGGAATACATTTCACACTGCAAAGTAGTGTGAAACATATCACCTTGACCCTCACTGTAGTTTTGAGTCAAACATGTTGTTTAGTCCAGTTAGTTACGGTTGAAATAAATTATTCTAAACCTCTTTCTTAAAACAGTCATTTTTCATGTGATTAAAAATGCATAATTAGAAGAAAACTTGATAGTACATTTTATGCTTAATAGATAAGACTCAAACTGAGACAAATCTCAACAATACATTTTGAAGACAGTGTTTCCACCCAAACACGGGAAGTCAATATAATTGACCTCCTCTCTTTTTATTTCCTGTCTTCTATTCCTCTGTGAAAGACTTAGATTTATTAAAGTTAGAACAATATCCATTCCTACCCTTTAAGTTTACACATGATAAAGTAAATTGTTGGGCAAAAGAGAGAGAGCACCTAGGTTCCTATGAGCCTTCATGAAAAGTAGATTCTTAAAAATATAATCTGATTTATATGCTTCCCAACAAGCAGCAGATGACAGAAAAGTGAAGATACTGTCACTTATAAATGATGGATGAAGTATGAACCCTCTACCTCGTGTACGAAGCCTGTTAGAAAAATGTGTATCTCCATTTGTTTCCCTTCAAATTTTTGATATTGACTTTATTCTTTTCATTTACCCCATAGTAATTTCCTGTATGTTTGTTTTCTAAATGAAATTTCTTAT